TCAAGTCCCCAACAGTCTTTCCAGGTGAAGCAGCATTTCACCTGTACCTCCTCCAATCCAGTCTATTGCATTCACTGCACCCAGTATGGCCTATCCGACATTAGAGAAACCAAACGTAGACTGCTTTGCAGAACACCTCCAGTCTGTGCGCAAGCATGACCCAGACCTCTCCATAGCTTTTCACTTTAACACAGCGTCCTGCTTGCATGCCCATTTATCTATCCTCAGCAGGCTGCAGCTCTCCAGTAAATCACAGTAAAAACTGGAGCAGCAACATCTCATCTTCAGAGTAGGCACTTTACAACATTCTGGGCTTAATACTGAGTTCAACACCTTCAGAGTGTGAACTCACTCCCATTTCTTCCCTTTCTTTTGGCTTTACTTATTGCTTTGTCTGTCACCACGTCCTCTCTCCCTTTCCCCGACAGTGAGACTGTCTGTTGTTTAGGTCTGGCAGTAAGACACACCATTGTTCTATCATTCTCATATTGTGATCACTTAATCCAAACTATCAACACCCGTCTCCACTCACACTCCATCCTGACTATTGCATAAATGCTGCTCCCTCCACACTTCAGGTCAGCTCTGATGAAGAGTCATCGAGACACGAAACGTTAGTTTGCTCTCTCTTCACGGACGCTGCCTGACCTGCTGTGATTTCTTGCACTTTTTGTTTTAAGTACAGGTTTCAGCTTATGAAGTAATTTGTTCCTATAAGAGTTCCATATCTGTCTGGCTTTCCTTTGCTGCCTGCTAATAAAACATGCTTCGTAGCTTTACACATCAGCTGATTTGGCACTCAGTTCCAGGTCCATTTCATTCCTGTTACCAGTCTGCATCTCTCCCTGCTTGAACCAGACAATTGGTAACCATAGCAGCCCATTTTAGTTCAGCATTACTTCCAAATCTGTGTTACCTTTATCACAAGTAATCAATTTCTCCAGCAACTACTGAGGCTCTCTTATATTGTGTCTACTTCAGTCTCTGTAAGATCATTCATCTCTGTCCTTCTCTCAGCTTGTACCAACTCCTGAGCCTCTCATATCTTTGTTACATCTAGAATTGACTATTTCAAGACCCTCCTGACTGGCATCCCTTCATCTATAAAATTAATACTCACTTAAACCTTTTCTATTGTATCCACTTACACACCGGACCCATTATTTTCCTCTTTCTTTACACACATTGTTTCCCAGTCCCAAATATCTCAAATTTGAAGTCTCATCCTGGTATTTAAATCCCTTCCTCGCTTTTCTTCCTAATTCTGCAATCCACTCCACACTTATAACTCTCATCACTCAATCTTCCCAAGTGTTTCTCCAACTCGAGCCTTGTCTGTATCATCCTCTTAGATCCACAATTAATGGCCAACACTATTGCTGTCCAAGGCATGTGCTCTGGAACCTTAGCCACAAAAACTCTGCTCCTCAGCTCCTCCACCTCTAAACCTTGACTAAGATTTTCATGACCACACCCACTATCTTTCTTTGGAATTATGTCCATATAATGTCTGATTATACTTCTGAAAAGTGTCATACAATGATTCACATCGAAAGGCGCAAAATAAATAAGTACCTCGTTATTCACAACAAAGCATTAAAACTGCAAGAACTGGATTCAATGTCAACAATTTTCCACAAGAGGGCAGTCTTTACCAATTCTTTGCTTGTAGGAGACAAGGTGTGTATTTTCAGCAATTTAGAATTATTCTATAAAGAGCAAAGAATTTTTTTTCCCAGAAGTGATAAGGTCATCATTCAAAGGAAAAGCATGGCTTACAGTACATTGGTGGAATATCAAATACAAATTAAAATGGCAATGCATTACAACCTCATAGATCAGACTGCAGATGGCATACAAATTTTCTCTATTTGACTGTATACAGTGCTTTAAACCAGTCTTGAACTTCCATCTTATTTATAACAAAGCCATTAATTTTGTTTTGGTTAAATGCTGGGGGACATGTTCCACATGTCTTCACCAAGAATATTTGGAGGAAATAACCATTCAGAATCTTTGTTTTTCTGCACTTCTCAGCTCCAGAGATTTTGCACGAAATCTTGGCTAACATTCCAAAATAATAGCAGTCATACATAATCAGTGAAGCTGTTATTTGGAGGACATATTAAACCACTAAAGGCCCTGTCCAACCAGTCAGCTGAACATGAGATTTGAAGATGCACAGGGCTACGTCCCTCTATTTTTCTGTGCTGAGCAGCCACGTAGCTTAGAAGAAACATTGGCACAGGGGTGCCCTCAGCATTGGCCACTATTTATCCCTCAAACAAAATTAAAATAGATCATCTGGTGATTAGTTCGTTGCTGTTCGTGGGATCTTGTTACCTGCAAATGTGATGCCTTACTTCCTAAATTTGAGATAGATACTTCAAAACTATCTTACATAGCACCTCAGAGGGACCCTCTTCTGGCACAGTGGTAGTGTCCCTACCCCTGGATTGAGAAATCCCAGTTCAAGTCTCATCTGCTCCAGTGGTATCTAACAACATCTCTGAATAGGTTGATCAGGAAAAATAGGTTAAATAAAAATTTACAGCACCTCAGATTGTTCTGAGATCATGCAAGTGTTTTATAAATATCTCTCTCAGGTGCTGCCCAATGTGAGCAAACATGCAACAACTCAATTATCTTCTTACAAATGTGTTTTTTTTTTATTGTTCCATGTTGTTCCAGTAATTATATATTTCACTTGGGTCCTCTTAACCTTCTGATCATCTTTTTAACCTGCTTTTACAATTTCTTAGTCAATCTACAAATCCCTTTTCCCTGTAAAATTTGTGCCGGTTTTTTATTTTAAATTTCACTTGTAATACGTAACTCCCATTTAATTGTGTAAATATACATTCGTCCAATATGTTCAGTAAAGGCTTAGGATTATCCCGAACATACCTACCCTTGCTTAGCTGCACAGTCCCCAGAAATCCTGAGGCTTTATCTATCAAAAGATGATGTGAAATTAAATTTATTGAATCTAGTAATTGTGGGCATACCAGAAAATGAGCACAAAAACTGCCAAATCATCATAAAAACACTTAGGAAAGGCAACATGGGTGCCGTTATCCTTTTGGTCTATCTAGGCGACCTGGTTGTATCTTAGTGCTTTGACTTGCCAATATATCAAAATTGTACAAATCATGGAACCATGCCAAAACCACAGCCATTGAATGGTCACAGCACAGACAGAACATAGAATAGACAGGACATTCATTCTGTCATTGCCTGCACTGGCTTTCTGCAAGAGCAGGTCAGCAAGTTCTCAATTCCTTCCTGCTAACTTTGTCTCTTCAGATAATCTGTTTCCACCATAATGCCAGGCAGTGTTTTCCAGGTATAAAGGTTCTTCTTTGCATTGCCTTTGTTTCTTTGTCATTCAGTTTAAATTGGTCCCCTTTGGTTTGCAAGCCTTTTACCATTTGGAACAATTTCTCAGATGTTTTGCCAAGATCCCTTTGGACTTTAAGCTCTTCTATCAACTCTCCTCAATCTTTTCCACCCGAAGGAGAATGCCCACTATGTATCTCCAAATTATCCAGATCTGATGTCCCTCATCCTGGGAATCATTCTCAAACATTTTCAGCATTGTCCCTTATTGGTTTCACATCCTTTCTGAAGTATGGTATCCAGAATTGGTCATAATACTCCAGTGGAGGATGAACCAGTGTTTTATAAAGGTTCATCATAACTTCCTTGCATTTGCCCCACTTTGCTACTTATAAAGCCCTGCATTCTGTACACATTATTCTTGGATTTCCATAGTCAATCCACACTAGTCTCAGTGACAGTTACTTTTGTCTCAAGTTATAATTTCTGACAGTTTACACAGTATCACATTAGGGGAAGCACGGTGGCTCAGGGAGTAACACTACTGCCTCACAACACCAGGGTTCCGGGTTTGATTCCAGTCTCGGGTAACTGTCGGTGTGGAGTTTGCACATTCTTCCTGTGTCTGCGTAGGTTTCCTCCCACAGACCAAAGATGTGCAGGTTAGGTGGATTGGCCATGCTAAATTACCCATAGTATCCAGGGATGTGCAGGCTAGGTGGATTAGCCATTGGAAATACAGGGTTACAGGGAAAGAATGGGACTGGTGGAATGCTCTTTGGAGGACTGATACGGACCGAATGGCCTGCTTCCACACTGTAGGGATTCTCTGATCAAGGTTCAACTGACTGTCTTGCGGCAGTTCGGCTTACCCATTGCCCTTTTTCTGAACAAGGCAATAACATTTGCAATTCTCCAGTCCTCTGGCACCACTTTCTTGAGACAAAATGGACCATAGACAGTAAATGTAGCCTTGCCTGTGTCAATCAGATTCTCAAAGCAAACTATGCAGAAAATAACTGGTTTTAGAGAAAGTACAAAAATATAGCCGATTTTGACTTTTATGTTTTGTCTTATCCCTATCTGTTTCAAGGCAGTTAAAACTGCCCATGATTATAAAACTGAAGAAATTTTTTAAATTATAAACTTTCATTAACTTTATTTGGATATTTGAATATGTAACCTGTTTGGATACATCAGATGGGCACTGAGCAAAATAAAGATTGAATCTGTGTTTTTTCAATTTCAGTTTCATTTCCTTGCTGATTCACTTCAGTCAAGAGTTTATGGGTGACTTCGAATCTACATCTGCAGAATCTATTTCAAATAAATTCTAGTACTGTATTTAGACAGTGAGAACAATTTTAGAGCAAATGGTATTTGCCATCCACAGTAGAATATCAACTGTATATCTTCAATACGGTACCAAGTTTTCTAGTGAACATCAGTAAAGATTTCTTAATCAAAAAGTGAAAGCTTTGTAGTTTTGAGCAATAGTAAATTTAATTACATAACTCAGTTACAAAAGATTGGTTAAAAAGCTTTTTTTGTTGTAGATCTCAAATTACAGTTGCACTTGCAATTTTGAACAGTGCAGATATTGCCAAACACAAAACCAAATCGCCTTTTCACTGAAGAAAATGTCATTCGAAAGACATAGATCAGAAATCAATCACTTTAATTGGAATAAGCAAGAGAAAAAGTGAGTTTTATTTCTTATGTCTGTATACAGTAAGGTATTTTTAATGTATAATGTAGATATAATGAGAATGTACTGAAGGCATTCAGTCTAGTCACTACAATATTAATGACCCAACACTGCTTGCACTCCCTGTTCTCTAGTAATCACATTCCATATCCTCAAGGGACTATAGATCTTTGCAGTTTTGGCACATGCAACACAAGTGGAATGCTAAATGAATTTCATTTTCCCCAATCATTTTTAATATAGGAGAGCTGATACTTAGAATTCTGAATCACTTAGGAATATTGTTAAAGTACACTTTTTACCACTAAATTCCTATTTGGAAGATTCATTTTTGAACCTCAGCTAGTGGCTGAGTTTCATCAGCACTTGATGAGGTACCTTGACAGGATATTGTTAGTGGAGTACTCCATCATGCCAGACATCAAAGAAGTGCATTTCCTATTTTGCCCTGACAACATATCTCAACCTTCACTACATGTTGAAGTATTTCACATCATTTTGGAATTACTATTTCAGACAGTGTACCATTAAACAAAAAACACATTTTTTATTTAAACAAAGTGCCCTTTACCACAACCATCAAGTGAAATCTTCAACACAATAGTTGGGAAAGAATGTTTTAAAAAAATGTAACTTCTAAATTTTAACAATAATAGCACACGGGAGTAGACATTTCTATTGCTAATGGCTGGATTTACAACAGGCAACTTTTTCAAGTTTAAGCTAGGTTTTAAAACAAATCTGTTTAAAAAATATAGGACTTATTTTCAACACACCCAACAAAACAACGCATTGTATGTCTGCAAATCTACTGTTCACAAACAACTGTTCATCAAGCATTTCTTTTAGCAGACTCTAGCATCATTTAAATATACCATGAGTGAAAAAAGTAAGGTTCAGTACTTGCAAAAATAAAACAATTATCACTTTTGTGTATCGTGCATTTATATCTACAGTACATTTTTTTCCCAGTTCTCTCACTTGTGGCTAGGCATTCTAACATCATTCTATAATCCAAGAAATTCCAAAATATTGAAATGACTAGGTCCCAAGCATTTGGGCTGAGGAGGTTACAGTATAATACAAAAATATGCACATCAGCAATCATTTCTAAATAATAACAATATTCCTATGAAGATGCCCTCCCCAACAAAAAAAGTGCTTTTGTTCATTTAAAAACAATGTTCAGAATTTTTTTCTGAGCAATAAGTGAATGGTGGTACCCTTTGTTAGGCTTGTACATTTCCATAGACTTTCTATGGGTTTTTCCATGGCCTGTTGTCGCTGACAGCCAATCATTCAAACAGCACAGCACCCTCCACAGGATGACTGGTTTCTATGTGAACAAGTTATACAGTGTGTCTCTCATCAACTCAAATGAGAAAGCAATAATCCAGGAATCTGAAGCAGAGACTGTCTATTAAGACAGTGAATTAAATATCAAATCAAATAATGATGCAGAAAGTCAAATAAGAAGAAAGATTGAAATAAGAAAGAGAGATGTCACAGAAAGAAGCAATAAGATGTTTAATTATTTTCATATTTCCTCAAGCTGAAGGAATGAGATTCCATGCTGATAAAAGTTACTCTTGGTTACCTGAGTGCTTATTTGGCAGTAATTAAGACTTACCATGCTATATTGAAGTAGGAAAGTTATATTATATCTGTACAGGGTCTTGGTGAAACCATATTTTAGTACAGCAGCACTTTCCAAACTTTTTCCCACTAGTTAAGGCTTGAAAATTGTTGTGATGCCCCAGCAAGACATTAAAGGACAGGGAGGTTAGAGTAAGGAACAGGGCAAGGAAGATCTGAGAGAGGGGAAGTGGAGCCAAGGAAAGATGAAGACAGCAGATGTCTTTCAGAGGAAGAAGATAGTTGCTGTAACTTCTGTCAGAGCCCCATGGCAGCCATTGCTGCCTTGCAGCTTGTGAGTTAAACACCACTAGCCACATGGGATCCCAACCCCGACTTCAGGAGGCCCTGATGCAACAGTTAGGTCTCCTTATTTGAAAAATGATAAATACATTCAACGTAGTTCAGAGATGATTCATTCAACTGATTCCCAGGATTAAGGTCTTCTTTATTGAAGACAGATTGAACAGGTTATTGTGGTATAAAAGAATGAGAGAGATCTTAATGAAACACAAGCTCCTGATGGAACTTGACAGGGTGGATACCGCGATGAAGTTTCCTCTTTTGGGGTTGACTAGAATGAGGGGACACAGTTTAAGAATAAGTAATATCCTTGCTAAGATGGAGATATGGAGTTTTTGTTTACTGTCAGAGGGTCACAAGTAGGTGGAATTCTCTTCCTCTGAGAACAGTTCAGATAGGGTCATTAAATTTATTCAAGGCTGAGTTAAAAAAGGGAGTCAAGACTTATTGGGGGCAGGCAGGACGGTACAGTTGAGACCACAAATAGATCAGCCATGATTTCCTTGAAGAGCAGAGCATTATTATGGGGCCAAATTTTCTACTCCTGCTCTTATGTCTGACATTCCTAAAAGGGTACTAAGACTGGAGTGGACATGCCCCAACATTTCCTGATAAATTTATGAAGAATCTTATTGAAACACAAGATTCTTAAGGAAATTGACAGGGTCGATGCAGAAAGGCTGTTTTTCCTTGTAGGAGAGTTTAGGATACAAAGGGCATGACCTCAGAATAAGGGATTCCACATTTACAAGAGGAGGAGAAATCTGTTCTTTCAGAGGGTTGAGAATCTGTGGAATTCTTTACCACAGAGGGTTGCTGAGGATGGGTCATTAAGTATATTCAAGACTGTGACAGACAGATTTTCAATCAGCAAGGGAATGAAGGATTATGGGGAAAGTGGAGTTGAGGATTATCAGATCAGCCATGATCTAATTAAGCACTGAAATAGACTTGATGGGATGAATGGCCTTCTTCTGCTCTATATTTTATGGTATCTATGAGGCAGGTACAGCAACTTCACATCATTCAAAGCTTTTGAATGATGGATAATAATGCAGGATGCTATCATCATGCAGCGTTTGAATTTTTTTTAACAGCAAAATCCAGTCGAATACCTTCTAAAGGGTAAAGTAAAGCTTCACACTGATATTGAAATTACTTCACAACGAAATATAGTACAATCATGATGACATTTCCCATGTCAACCCAAAGTAAAACATCAAATTCCTGAAAAGGGCATGTAAACCACTTAGGTTTGATATCCAGAGATTTCTCGGGAAGTGATGATATAATTGGACAAAATACTTCAATTTGTGAAGCAGAAACATCCAAATCATATAAAGTGCTTTTATAACCCTTTTCCTTCCTTGCATTGTAGTGCAATAAAGTGGTTTGAAACTAAAGTACAGGAGTAACTAATATTCTTCTTGTCAGATGATTTTACCAGACCAATAGCTTGACAATGGTTTATGCATTAGTACCTGTCTTCTTCGTCAGAATTCAAAACATTCTTTAAAACCAAAAAAAATTCTCTGATATTGTTGCTGAATGTAGATAGCTTAATTACCAGCATTGAAGATGACATTAAGTTGCAAAAAGTCTAGAAATCATTAATGTAGTACTGTTAATGTTTATCGTACAGTGCAGATGGATGTTTATTTCAATCTGACAGACTGTCAGCAGTATTGGTCATATAACACTGTTGAATTACAAATATTTGTAAAAGTAGTAAACTCCATTTTCAACAAGATAACCAATACCAGATTTAAAGCAAACAGTTCAGATAAAAATTACTTTAAAAATGCTATTATTTGCAACATGGTAGGGTGTTTGTCAAAACATAACCTTTCTTTCTCTCAGCTTCATAATTAGGACTACTTGTAAGTCTGTTGACTAGAACATCACAAAGAAACCGACAAACAGATGCCCAGTTTTGAAATAAATATGCAGCACGTTGAAATCATACAAAAAGTCTGCAGTCTCTCCAAACAATTTTTTTGAGCTGTGACCTTCATTTGCTAACAAGAAGAACTTCAAACGTTCATGAGTTGCTGGGTTGCTCAGATTTTATCCTGACAATGAAAAAATATATAATTGGTGATTTTTTTAGAGTATCATATATACAATACATGATACAATGATATGTATTAATATATAGAAGAATGACCATGCAGGCCATATATAATTAAAACTGTACTTCCCTCTAAACATTTTACCCTCCTTTCCTAAAGGGACTGAATGATACTAGACAATGTTCTGTGGTATCTTGTCAAGTGTCCTTTTTGAATTCCCGCCATCAGCTGAGATTACCATGAAGGACTTGACATCTCAACCTCTCCCCCTCGCCTGAGGCATAGTGACCCTCCGGTTAAACCACCATCATTCAATCTCTAGTGAGACAGCAGTCGTATGCTACAACAGGGCTATGGTAACTTTATATTACTTTAATCACGTACAAATTTAAAAAGCAAGTGCCAGTTTATTACATAATAGTACAGAACATTACAAGCTTGACGTGGTGATGCCGCAGTACTCAAAGACATGCATCCTCTAGCACCGGAAGCAGGCTAATGGTTAGATATGAGGATTATGGGTTCACCACGCTCAGCCTTCATCCATAGTTGTATCACTACTTAGCTGTGATAAAGACAAATGACTTGTGAGCTCACATCATGTAAAATTAACTTCTAATTATTCAATGCTGTTCAGCTAGTTTTAGTTTAAACTTTCATACAGATAACAACTGGGTCTAGGCACAAATCAATAGGAAGGTTTAATTTCTGCCTTGGTGCACTTGCTTATTAGGTTGTCACCTCTAGTGAACAATGTTACTAATTTAAAACATTATGTAGACAGCAATTCAGCTTACCCTTTTACATCAGTTTTCTCTGTAATATCTTTAACCGTGTCTTCCTCTTCAGCATCTGCAAACAGTTCAGTCATTATTAGGTTGATTAAAGGTAAAGAAGAACTTACAGAAGAAAATACAATTAGGATATGTTCCTCTTAGTAGAAGAGATACCTTTCTGCTGGTTTAACACTAGTTTCTTAATTTCAATCCATGGAATTGATTGTCCTGATTTTCTCAGAAATGATCTTCCTCATTCTTGGATTGAAGTTTAACTTCTTATACAAATTGAATTTTGCATCAACCTTATACAGTAAATCAATTGAGACAGTTTTCCATGGCAAACAGAAAACCAGGGACTTTTTTTCATTTTTGTAAATGAAGCAAGACATTAGTGATAATCTGTTCACATGGCGTAGGAGATAAAAATTAGCTGAGAATTAAAATGAAGCCTTACATACAATATATACGACTGGAACATCATCAGATTTTCAACAAACTTATGTTTATAGAATTTACGATTTAAAGGAAATGTGCCAAGGTGCACTGAAAGAGTACTATGCAGAATATGATATCTAGCGCCGCAGGGTGAAATTGGGGAAGATGACAATAAGTTTGGCCAAAGAGGTAGTTTTTTTAAAAGAGATTTTACAGGAAGAAAGAGAAAGAGGGAGACAGAAAGATTTAGGGAAGAAATTTCAGAGCCTGATGCAGTTGAAGGTGTGGTCACCAATGGTGGAGCAATTTAAATTACGGATGCCCGAGGCCAGAATTTGACAAACAAAAGTACTGAGGAGAGCTGTAAGGTTGGAAGTTTGAGATAGGGAGAGGTGAGGCCATAAAGGGATTTCAAAACACAGATAGGAATTTCAAAATCAAGATTGTGGCTCCTGTTCCTGCAATATAGGGCAGTGAGCACTTGGTGATGGGTGAACAAAATTTAGTAAATTAAAACACAGGCAACAGAATTATTGGAGGATCCTGTGTTTATGGTGGGTACAATATGGGAGAAAAGCCCAGTGAGCTTTGGAACAGTCAAATCTAGCGGAAGCGATGACCTAGTGGTATTATCGCTGGACTGTTAATCCAGAGACCTAGGTAATGTTCTGAGGACCTAGATCTGAATCCCATCACGGCAGATGGTGGAATTTGAATTCAATAACAATCTGCAATTAAGGGTGAGTCTGTTGTCCATGAATCCAATGTTGATTGTTGGTAAAACCCATCTGGTTCACTAATGTCCTTTAGGGAAGGAAACTGCCACCATTACCTGGTCTGGCCTACATGTGATTCCAGCAATGTGGTTGAATCCTAACTGCCCTCAGGGCAATTAGGGATGGGCAATAAATGCTAGCCTTGCCTGTGATGTCCATATCCCGTAAAAGCATAAAAGAAAAATCTGCTTCAACAGTGGATGAGGTGAGGTGGAAATAGGTGATCTGAGTGAATATACATTTAGAAGCTCACCTTCAGGTAAACTGTGACACCAAGGTTGCATGGATACTAGACTGATCTCAGATAGTTGGCAAGGAAGGGGGCTGAGTTAAAGAACAGAATTTGACAGAATGTGTAGAGGGGACAAGAAACAGTTTAACAGCTGCAGCTTCAGCAGACTCCTGACTGGGAAAACAAATTGAACAGTGACAGGAAAATGTCAACACAGTGTGGAGCTGGAGGAACACAGTAGATCAGGCAGCATCAGAAGAGCAGGAAGGTCGATGTTTACTTCATCAGTCCTGATGAAACTTTCAACTTTCCTGCTCCTCTGATGCTGCCTGACCTGCTGTGTTCCTCTAGCTTCACACTGTGTTGATTCTGACTCCAGCATCTGTAGTTCTTGCTATCTCCTAGTGACAGGAAAATGATGGGTTGATTAGTTCAGGATATTAAAAAAATATATTTCTTTTGCAAGAAGGGATTAACTGATAAACTACAGGAATAAGTCAGGCCAATATAATAGTGATATAAGTAAGCAAACTAAGGTAAGAGAAGTAAAGTTAGTGCAAGGGAAATAAGGTAATAGTATTCTTACATAAGCATAACTTTTTTGTAAGAAGTGAGTAACTAAAGGGCTTAATGGAAGTCATGGCAGCAGAGCTTGCATCTGTGATATGCTCCTCCTGTGTATGTGGCAAATCATGGAAACTTCAGTTGTCCCTGGTGACCACATGTGCAGGAAGTGTGCCCAGATATGACTACTGGCAAACTGCATTTCAGAGCTGGAGCAAGGGAGAATTCACTGTGGGGCATCCACAATGCTGAATTCACAATTGTGAATAGCATGTTCAGCAAGGAGGTCATACTGCAGGTGAAGACTGAACAGGCAGAAAGGGCATGGGTGAGTACCCAGCAGAATACAGAAAGCTAGATAATGCCCTTGTGACCATTCCCTTTTCTAACAGATATACCATTTTGGATACTGTTGGGAAGATGATGGTGTAGGGGAAAGCAGTGGCAGCCAACTCATGGCACCACAAGTGGGCCAGTTGCATAAGGTAGGAGGAAGAAGAACAACAGAGCTATAGTGGTAGAGAATTCAACTGCAAGGGGAACAGACTGGCATTTCTGCAGCTGCAAAAGAGACTCCTGGATGTTATATTGACACCCGGGTGCCAATGTCAGAGATATCACTGAAGAGCTGCACAGCATTCTGAAGGAGGAGGGCAAACAGCCAGAGGTCATAGCAAATATTAGTACCGATGACATAGGTAGAAAGAGGAGGAGATCTTGCAGGCAGAATTTATTGAGTTAGGAAGTGGTTTAAAGAACAGGGATCCAAAAGATAGTAATCTCTGGACTACAAGAAGCTTGACACAATCCAAGACAAAGCAGCCCGCTTGATTGATACCACATCGACAAATATCCACTCCCTCCAACATCAACCCTCAAACAGCAGCAGTGTGTATTATCTTCAAAATGCACTGCAAAATCCTCCACCTTTCGAACCCATGACCGCTTCCATCTAGAAGGACAAGAGCAGCAAATAAATGGGAAACCACCACCTGCAAATTCCGCTCCAAACCCACCTGACTAGGAAATATAACCGCTGTTCCTTCACTGTTGCTGGGTCAAAATTCCAGAACTCCCTCCCTAAGGGCATAGTGGGTCAACACACAGCAGGTAGATTTCAGCGGTTCATGAAAGCAGCTCACTACCACCACCACCTTCTCAAGGGCAATTAGAGACAGGCAATGGACATGCACATCCCACAAATGAATAAAAAACCTCTGGTGCCATGTGCTAATGAGTATAGAAATAGGAGGTAAGTCCAAATGAATGCGTGGCTGGTGAGATGCTGCAGGGAGTAGGGCTTTAGATTTCTGTGACACTGTGATCATTTGGGGACAATGGCACAAAGATGTTGGGTTGCATTTGAACTGGAATAGGACCAGAATCCTTGCAAGGAGGTTTGCGAGTGCTGTTGGAGAGGGTTTAAATAATTTGGCCAGAGTGGGGGGAGGAATCCATAGTGAATATTCAGTGAGGGAGATGAATGGCCAAAGTTAGAACAGGCAGCAATTGAGTCAAAAACGCATATAAATTATGGCTATTTAACGCACAATGGAGTTTGGCACAGCTGAATGTTATTCATTTTAATACAAGGAGTCTGCTGTACCAGGCAGATGAATTGAAGACTCATTAAATTAAAATATGGAAGTATGATGTCATTGCTTTCACTGAGACACAGGATTGGCAGCTCAATTTTCCAGGTAAGAGGGTCTTTAGGTGAGTTAAGGAAGGAGATAAAATAGGATTGGGTGTCACAACATTGCTCAAGGAATCACATATTGCAATAAGGAGGGACGACATCTTAGAAGGCTCCGCAAATGAAGCCATATGGGTAGAACTCTATAACCAAAAAGGAACACTGCTTGGAGTACACTACAGGTCTCTTAACATTCTGAATAGAAACAGCAGATATGTAGGCAAATTTCAAATAAGTGTAAAATAGAGTAGTGAAAGTTGGGGATATGAACGTTCCTAATATTAATTGGGGTAGTCATAGTGTGAAAGATTTAGATGGAATGGAATTCTTTAAATGCATTCAGGAGAGCTGTTTAAGCCTGTATGTAGAAGGTGCCACAAGACGGGGTGCCATCCTTGACTTAATTTTAGGTAAAGAAGCTGGGGAAGTGCGTGAAGTATCATGAAATGGCAACATATTCCCCTCCCCTCCCTTGTCTGCCTTCCGCAGGGACCGTTCCCTCCGGGACACCCTGGTCCATACTTCCTTCACCCCCAACACCTCTCCACAGCCCTATGGCACCTTCCCCTGTAACCGGCGAAGGTGCAACACCTGCGCATTTACCTCTTCCCTCCCCAGTATCCAAGAGCCCAAACATACCTTCCAGGTGAAGCAACACTTCACCTGCGCTTCCAAGAATCTAGTCTACTGCATTCGCTGCTCACAATGTGGTCTCCTCTACATTGGGGAAACGAAGCGTAGACTTGGCAACCGCTTCGCAGAACATCTAAATTCTGCTTGCAAAAAAGACCCTGAACTACCTGTTGCCTGCCACTTCAATGCATCACCTTGCTCCCTGGCCAACATCTCTGTCTCCGGCTTGCTACAGTGTTCCAGTGAAGCCCAGCGCAAGCTGGAGGAACAACACCTCATTTTCCGCTTGGGGACCCTATAGCCCTCCGGATTCAATATTGAGTTCAATAATTTTAGGGCCTAAACTCTCCCATGTCCCAGCTCCCCACCCCACAGACCAGGCCTTGTTACCACATAGCCTGCCATTACTCACCCTCTGTTGTTAGTCACTAACAGTCCCCATTAACAACTATTCACCCTCCCAGCCTGATCGTTAGCACCTCCTTTGTCTGTCCAACTGTCTTTCTCTCTCTTTGGGCTCTATCCTATCGTTTACTCCCTACCCCACCCACCTCCCTATTTTCTGCATATAAACTGACGTTTTCCCAGCCACCATCAGTTCTGAGGAAGGGTCACCGGACCTGAAACGTTAACTCCGTCTTCTCCTCCATAGATGCTACCAGACCTGCTGAGCTTTTCCAGCAACTTTGTTTTTGATCATGAAATGGCATTTTGCAGACAGCAATCACAGCTCCATT